TCACTTCTCAGCATCATCTTGCATACTAACCTGCATTTCTACTTTCTCTTCTCAGGTGAGGAAAAGTTTTTAGATTAATGAAAATGCAAAATTCAAATTTAAGTCAGTGAATGGTATACTAATTAGTTTAATTATATGCATATAGTATATTATCTAAAGCATTAACTCATAAGTTGCTGATTGATCATTCAAACCACAATAATTAAGCAGTTACCATAACTTAAACGTTGTCATAAATCTTTTCCCAAGGAAAATTGTCTTACATTTTAAGAAAACTTCTTTCTTAATAGGAATTAAATTAAGGAACAGAAGGAGTAAAGGTACACTACATATTTATCTTATTTAGATACATATATATGGATTAATTTTTAATGGTTTTAAAAATGTATATTAAATGTATATGAATTAGCAGCTCAAACATATATATATATATATGCCATATATATGCCATATAAAAATATCTGCCCTGTTCTATTAGCAATAAAAACTTAAGAAGTAAAACAAAAATATAATCATTTTTTGCTTTTGAGTTTAGAGAAAATATAAAAGATTAATATTCAGTGGGATAGTTGATGAAAAAACTTGCATTCTTATATACTGGAGAATGGAACTACTAGTTAACACAGATTTGGTTAGGGCAATTTAGTAATTATCAAAATTTTAAGTGTCTATCATGAAATAATTGAAAATAAATACTATATTTACACCTATACTGTAACTATAACCTAATACTAGGCAATGGTTTAAAAAATAAGTTAGATGTCCATACAATCATGTGGAATCTTCAAAACATATTTATAGTTTTAAAATCATAAGTACAGAGTAAGTCTGTTTATATAAAAATGTACATGCATGCATATAAAATAAATATATGAAACATGTGAAAATACATGTAAACTTTAAACTGCAAGGTGTTTACTTAATGGGGGTAAAAAGATTTAAAAATGGACTTTTGGGCCAGGCACAGTGGCTCATACCTATAATCCCAAATTGGGAGGCTGAGGCAGTAGGATTACTTGAGATCAGAAGTTCACCAGCCTAGGCAACATGATGAGACCCTGTCTATAGAAAAAATTTAAAACTTAGCCAGGCACAGTGGCATGCATCTGTGGTCCTAGCTTTACTAGGAAGGCTGAGGCAGGAGGCTCACTTGAGCTCAGGAGGTCAAGGTCACAGTGAACCGTATTTGCACCACTGCATTCCAACCTGTGTGGCACAGTGAAGTTGGAATGCAGTGTTGCAAGCAGGGTTCACTGCAGCCTTGTCTAAACAAACAAACAAAAAAGTTTTCTTTATTATTTTGTTAACTTCTTAATATTTAGAATGTTTTGTAATTGCAGTGATATACATTTATGTTTTATAATTTGGAAAGAGGTTATGTGAAGAAAGCAACAAAAAAATTAATGGTTAAAACAAAAGTTTCAAATCAAAATAATGAACATAAATTATGGCAGAAATTATGAAAAAATATAAAAACATAAAACCTGCTTATAATTTTCAGTCTATATTTTAAAAATTAATAGAATATAAGAGAAAAGCAAATAATTGTGGGATAATTACTTAAGCCTGGGATTTGAGGCTGCAGTGAGCATTGACTATGCCACTGCACTGCAGCCTGCATGATAGAGAGCAGCTGTCTCTGAAAAATAATAATAGTGATGCACTCAGAATCTGTCAAAATATAAAGTTCAACCTTGCTTTTTATCTATGTCTATGAAATAATGCTATTCTTGTTGAATAGTTAAGTTAATAGTTGAGGCATAGACTGATAATCTACATGGATATTTGAAACCTGTGAGTATAACACATCCAAACCTACATGACAGTTCCAACTCTGTATTTGCAAAACTGATACACAAACACAGGAAAAAAAACAAACTATGGTGGTCAACATTATTTTACTTTCTAAAAAAAAAGTAAAATCTGAAATTTAAAGGTTGCTGTGGTTTTTGAAATTTTTAATGCTATAATTTTTCACTAATAATTATAGGTTTAGTGCTGGTAGCCCTTGTTGTCACTTGTTCTTTCTTAATTTTACTGTGGGAAAACTGAGTTCAGGGCACAGTGAATTGAGTGAAAATAAATTATTTAAAAAATAATTTAAATAAATCATCCCTGAGTAGTAGCTCCAGAGGCTTTTTGATAAGAAATAGTCTATTTGAGCTTTGCCTAATTGGTTTTCTTTGGAGGAGTCTTACTTGCTTGATTCACGTTTTATACCATGTTTCAAACAGGTATTAATTTGAAGTGGCTGGGGTTAGAATTCATGACATATGGTTGTGTGATTGAATTTTTTTTGTAAAATATTTGTGGCAGAGTTTTTAAAGCACCTTTATGTGGTGACAGTGGTGACACTATGAAATAAAGCCATGTTTATCCTTTGATATTCAGTTTCCCAAATGTTTAGTTCTAGAAGAGAGTTGAAGCCTGAATTTTGTTTTTGAGGTTTCCAATTTACCATCCCCACTGCACAGTGGAGAGTGATGGCCAGTACATCTTACTGCAAAGGTGTATTGCTCAACCCTTTGGTGACCACTGAATATCTTCTACTCTGGCTTCATTGTACACCAAAAGACAGAAACAGCCAAGCTGAATAATCCTTGGAAATTCTAAAAACAACAATACAAAAGACAGTAATTTATGTAGTGAATGCTCTTCTGTCCTATTCAGCACATTTTTAAAGAGTATCTTATTTTCTAAATAAGTGACAGGTCACTTTTAATGAAATCAAAGCTTTTAAGGGGAAAGGACTGATGACATTGCAGCCCTGATATTCTCTCTCTTCCTGATGGGCATAGTGTTAGCTGCTTAACTTAGCACGGTATTAGCTGCAAGATGCATGAGTTCCAAAATGATTCTAAGTGTTCATTTAACATGAGGCTTCCTTTGAGAAAAGGCTGCCAGTGGTGCATAATTGTGCCAAATGTGCAGCAGTTTCGTAATGTGGGCTGTAATCCACTAGGAACTAAATCCTGCTATTACACTCTTTGGGGAGACTTCTAAAATCCTACTCCTCTTATTGTCAATAGTAACCTGGAGTAGTTAGAGGTTACTGGAAATCTCCTTTAAAAATTGCCGCACATGTGTTGAAGCTTCCTTAATGTAAGTCACAGTAATGTGTTTATCAGTTGGGCTACTGCTAAAGCCACAAGATGGGGCATCCAACACATTTCCTCTCTTGTAATTATTCTTTTATTTTGTGTATTATGACTTTAGTTATAATTTAATTTTAAATTAATAAATTATTGTCTTCAATAACTGGAATAATTGTGTATACTAACAAAAAAGGATCCTTTTCCATGGTATCAGTGATACAATAGGATCAAGTTTTATGAAAATGTAAAAATGTGCAGAAGCATGTCTTTCATATGGAGATTTCAATTCATCACTCATATATTTGTGTGTGTGGGTGTGCGTGTGCATGTGTGTGTGTGTGTGTGTGTGTGGCAGTGTTGGCATTCACCCATCTAAAGAACAAACCCAGCAACCATTTCCCAGAGCACAGCCGTATTCTGTAACTGTTCAGGCAGGAAGTGAAGAGCTCCTCATCGAACTGAACCAACCAGGGCTTTTAAAGGAAGCAGAACGCAATTACCCAAATTGAAATTTGTCCAGGACACTGGAGATAGCATCTTCACTCTTCCAGAAAGTACCAGGACTCTGGTTTTATGTCTTATCTGAAAGTTGATGCCTGCGGTCACAAAGTGCCACGTATTCATATACTGTTAGGCAACCCAGAATCAAAGATGCCATTTTTCAGGAAAAAAAAATCTGTACAACTAGTAGATCCATTGGGTGGTACAACCAGGATTCATTGGGATAGTGGTTTTATTTATTTATTTTTAAAATGTCTGTGGCTATGTAGCAGGTGTATGTATTTATGGGGTACAGAGATGTTTTGATATGGTTGTGCAATGTGAAATAAGCACATCATGGTGAATAAAGTATCCATCAGTTCAAGAATTTATCCCTGAGTTACAAACAATCCAATTATAGTCTTTAAGTTACTTTAAAATGTAAAGTTATTATTAACAATAGGCACCCTATTGTGCTATCAAATTTGTAAGTCTTATTCATTCTTTCTAATTATATTTTGTACTCATTAACCAACCTGACCACCCTCAAATTGTTTCTTTTTTTTTAATTTTGCTTACTCTTTTTTTTCTGTGAGATGAAGTTTTGCTCTTGTCGCCCAGGCTGGAGTCCAGTGGCTCAACCTTGGCTCACTAAAACCTATGTCTCCCAGGTTGAAGCAATGCTGCCTTTGCCTCCCAAGTAGCTGGGATTACAGGCACACACCACAACACCTGGCCAATTTTGTATTTTTAGTAGAGATGGGGTTTCACCATGTTGCCCAGGTTGATTTTGAATTCCTGAACTCAGGTGATCTACTCACCTTGGCCTCCCAAAGTGCTGGGGTTCAGGTGTGGGCCACCGTGCGTGGCTTGTTTTATTTTCTAAAAGAATAAAATACAAATCATGTTTTCTCCCCTCAGACCAACTCACAGCTCCCTTTATTTCAATGGCCAAAAAATATGTTGCATGTAAATGCTTATGATTTATCATGAAAATTAACCTTACCTATTACCAAAGTAAAAACAAATCTGAACTATAACTTTATTCTGTATGTTTTTCCTTAATTTGTATCTAGGTATATCACTTTTTCAATTTCTGCCATTAATACACCTTTCATGCATCATCAAATAATTAATGTATTAATGAATTTATTATGCAAGCTTTGTAGTAATACAAATTAAAGATAGGAATTCAGAATTACCAGCATTAATAGAGATAAGCTGCATGGTAGGTGCCTAATTACAGATTAAAGTGGGTCTTCATAACATCTAGTGAAAAAGAATTCTTTGATACTACTCAGTTATAATCTAAATATACATCAATTGATAAAAATGGTATTTCAAAATTTCTAAAGAAAGTACAATTTTAGTATATTCTTCAAATTGACCTAATAAATGCATTTTTGAAAAAGAAAAAGGCTTAAAGCATTTTCTAGTAGCTTTAATTATTATAATAAGATTTGGTTCTTATTAACTAAGGAAACATTAAAGGAAAGGTAATTCTGATGTTAGTTAAAAGGAATGATAATGTAATTCAATTTACCAGTGTAATAGTTTTCAGTTTAAGTTTTATGTTTCAAATATTACACAATTATCTAAGTCTTCCTACTTGTGAGTAGAATTTATTTTCTCATTTATCTTTATACTCATATAATTAATCCCAAAGTTACTCTTAAATGTACTGCCCAAGCTTTTCTATTTTTATTTGGGTCAGAGGGTCAGAACACTCTTCTCCTGGGGTCAGGGTCATCCTCATTAGCGTTGCTCTGTTCTGAGGTCACTGATTACGCTGTTTGTCCTGAGAAGCCTGGGGTGCCTGGAAGGAAAGGCAGACGGACCCAGAAAAATCTATCACAGCCATAAGTGCCCAGACTTATGGCAGGTCAGGACTGCCATTTTCATGTACAAAGAATAGCATATCATTAGTCTTCAGCCTTTATATTCTTCTTAAACTTCTTCATTGAAACAAAAATACCTGTAAGTCAGGAAGAAACCATAGTTAATCAGGGCATTGTAATTTTAAAAAGTAATGCTTCTTCAATATGAAAGTTTTTTAAATTAAATTTAAAAGACAATAATTTATAAAATGAGTTTTAAATTTTTTAAAAAATATTTAGTGATATGAAGAAATTCTCATAGTATAGTTTTAACTAAATTGTGCTCCCAATACAATGTTAGATTGAGTAGAAATTTTATATATGAATATTATGATTCCAATATAATACTGCCTATTACTATATACCTAAAGGAAACACTCTGTAGCAGGAGCTTGACCAACATATGAAAGGCTGAAGAATGAGGAATAGGATGGCAGAAGAAAAAGAGAGAAAAGATGGGTTGGCAGAGTGGTGAGGATTGATTGTAAATGATGTAATTTGACACCCTGGATCCAAGTGTGTCTGAAGTATGCCTGATTTACTCCTAGAATTTTAATTACATGAAACTATAAATCTTTTTTTTTGTTTTTTTAAGTTGATTTGAGGACCCTAAAGAGCCCTTACTAATACATCTGATATTACCTCAATGAATAGGTAATTAACTAAAGAAATAAACTATGCAATACTTCAAAACTTAAAGCATGGGTATTCATGCTAGCATAATGTCTTGAGATTTCAATGTGGATGTGGATCTTATAGAGAAAAAAAGAAATTTATTTCATTTAACAAAATGAAAAAGATGTAGTCAATATTATTAGAATTATAATATTAAAGAACACATGTAATGATTAATTGAAAATATAATCGAAGCATTTTATGTAGTAGTGTTGTTCATTAGATATAAAATAGAGTTTAAAAATTTTCAACTTAGTCAATGTACTGAACATTTACTGTATGACAGACACTGTAGACACTGAAGGTTCAAGGATAAATTAGAGACCTTGACCGTACAGCAAGAGGCAAAACCTAGAGGGGTAGATACGAGAAAGGAAAGGTCAAACAACAAGGAAGTCCCACTCAACATCTGGCACCATGACACGAACAGGCATCTTGCTTATGACAGGTAGGAAGATAGAAAGACGAATAGAAAGATTAAATCAAAACATAGACCATAGACAACAGATTTAAAGAATAGTTATGCCCATTTGATACGTAAATTTTTAAATACGTGTTGCTTGCCTTCCTAGATATTCTAGTAATAATTCTTTCCACTTCAAAAGTATTTTAAAAATACATAGTACTTTCCATGGAGCTTTAAGTTGTTTTCAAATATTATAACATTTTAAAGTGATGTTTCTTAAAAAAAAAAAAACACTATTTATTTGCTCCTTCTCCTTGACTGGATAAAGGAAAGGCCTAAGATGAAAAGGTATAGAGAAAGGGAAGCTATAGAGAAGTAGGCGGATCTGAAAGGTTTCCGTGACGATTCCTGGCTGCTACTTTACATGGAAAAACTGTCACAATTCTGAAAGGCACCTGGAGATAGAAGTAGTATTCCTCTATGTTGTCTGAAGTGTCTGGAAATACATGTTATCTTCTGTGTAAAGGGCTAAAGGACTTGCCAATATTACTTTGCAGATTGTTGATCTCAGTTCTTAGTATAAGAGTAACAAATTTACAAATAAAATAGTAGGTGTCAATGATAAAGTAGATCTCTCTGCTGCCATCTCACTTTGAAAACATCAGCTAGCATTTTGGATTAGGCTTACGGGTTCCTCCTCCCTACGTGATGAACCTATCCAGTGTTCTTTCTCTTTCCATCCCTCCTGCTGCTCAGGTACCAGCAAATCATGACAGTATATGATGACTTGCTTCTGAAACTACTGACCTGGGGCCCAAGATCTTTACCTTTCAAAGCTCTGGCTGAGCTTACAGAATTGTCATTGTATTTTAAAGAAACTTCCTGGAAAACTGTTCTCTGGAGGATTCCTGTAAAATACTGTAGTTAGTTCTACTTAAAGGGAAGGTAACCCAAGCAAAAATAACAGACCATTAGAATGAGGAAAGTAGATTCTAAAAATCACAGCAGAAAAAACACATTCAGACGATAAACTCTGCTATTTTAGTAAGTTCTGTGGAAAAGCATGATTAAGGTAATCAAAAATTGAATTGCAATAAAGCATGGATCCAGCATATGTGTGGTCTAATGTTTATACAATTAGGGAGGTCTTCTTTAATAATAATCAAACAAACTTATGATTACAAAATTTAAAATTAATGTATTTATCTATAATGAGAAAAGAAATCACAACAACAAATTTAAAAATTTCAAAATCTGACCAAAAATATACCTGCATGCAAGGTTCAGTAGCATCTCAGTAATCTGCTGTTTCCAAAGGATTCTCCAGGAGTACCCGACGCAACGCCATTCTCAGTGACATTCTTTTTCTATTCTAGTTTTTTCTCGCAATCAAGTTTTTTCTATTCATATTTAAATGTACTCAAGTCTCTTTTAGCCTAATTTTTAATAAATTTCTTATGACCCACATCTTCCTCCTAGTAGGACCCCAGCACTCTTTACAACCAAACTCCCGACTGACACTGTTTCTGGTCCCCTTTGACTAAAAAACCCTCAGAAACCTGACCTCTCCCTTCATTAAAATGGCTCTTTCTAAGATCTACCTGAGGATAACGATAGCCTTAATATCAAAATAAATCTTTGTCTTTACCTAACTTTTCAGCATAATTTGTTCTGGCAACATTCTCTCTTCATCTAAAATACTGTTTTCTTTTGTGGTGGCAAACGTTGCCTGCCTTTCTCTTATCTCTCTGGATTTTCCATTTTGTTCTCCTTTCTTAGCTTCCTGTCTTCTGCTCAGTTATTAAATGTAGGAATTCTTCAAGTCTCAGTCTTAGTCCTCTTTTTTTTTTTCTTCTGGTTCTATTGTCTCCCTCTAAAAATCTCATTTAAGTCCATAGTTTAAATTGACATCTATAAAGACTCACAAGTTTATATGTTCAGGCCAGATCTGTTTTTCAGACACCTCCCTTTGTTATCTCAATACTTCAAACTGTGCTATGATCTTCTCCATCAGACCTAACCAGTGATATCCATCCTTTCAGGCCCCAGTGTGAGCACCCCATGATGCAACTCTGACACTTTTCTCTCTGTCACATCCAAGTCCAATTCATCGTCAAATCCTGTCAATTATGCATTTTAACTATCTCCTCAATTGGTACATGGCTCTTCATATAAACTCTATCACTCTAATCCAAGTCACCATCATCTTGTAAATGAAGTCCTATAATAACCTACTAAGAATTTTCCTATATCCTGTTTTTGTGCCTGTTTTAGTCTGGGTTCTCTAGTGAAATAGAACCAATAGGAGATATATTTATATTCATTACGTATTGAAATATGAATATATGTGTATATTCATATTTATACTTATATAAATAAAGATATTTACTATAAGGAATTGACTAACATGATTATGGAGAGTGAGAATCCAAGATCTGCAGCCTATAAGCTGCAAACCAAAAAGAGCCAATGATATATTTCCAGTCTGGGTCAGAAGGCCTGAGAACCAGGGCAGCAGATGGAGTAAGTTCCAGTGTGAGTGAAGGAGGCTGACGTACCAGCTCAGATAGAGAGAGCAAATTCTACCTTACTCAGCCTTTTGTTCCATATAGGTCATCAAAGGATTGAATGAGGATACATCCTGACATGAGGAAGGGCAGTCTGTTTGACTCATTCTACTGATTTAAGTGTTAATCTTATCCAACAGAGCCCTCATGGACCACTCAGAATAATGTTTCACCAAATATCTGGATATGCCCTGGCCTAATCACGTTGACTCATAAAATTAACTGTCATACCACCTACAGTCTAATCACCATAGAATTGTAAAACAGATGCTTCTAAACTACAAATCTGATTACTCACTCTCTGCTTAAATAATTTCAATGATTACTTAATAAGCTAAGCTTTGGGTACGGACGCAGGTCCTTCCAGTGGCCTGTGAGCTCCTGCATGAACCGGCCTCTGCTTACTTTGACATATCACAAATCTGTTCCCCTGGATCTCCCTGTTCTAGACTTACTGTTCATCTTTTACATACGGAGCACTTTTGCACTCTTCTCCTACTCAACCTTTGTGCTCTTAAATTCTCTTTGGAATTCTGCTCATTTCTACACATTAAGGGAATCTCTGAAAAAAATATTACTTCCTTGGGCAAGCCTCCCTAATTTCTGTTCCCACATCACCATTATCATCACTGCAATATAGGTGAGGTTTCCTTATTATCTACCATAATATAATTATTTTCATAATGAGTAGCTAACTTTATTGATATATGGTATTGTGTATCAAGAAAAATGACCAAGGCTAGTTTCAATCATTTCAGGAGGTATATTTGCCAAAGTTAAGGATCTGCACCCAAGAGACAGGTCTGTGCAATTCTCTGAAGATGATGTTGACAGCTTCAGTATTTAAAAAGGAAAGGGCAGGATATTGAGAAAAAGACAACTTTCATGTGAGAGGGGGCTAGGGAAAATAGTCATTCATGCCTTTGTCTGGTGGCAGACAATATACCAGAGGAAACAATCAGATATATATTTGTCTCAGATGGGCAGAGGGATGACTTTGAGGTCTGTCCATGTCCTCACACCTGTGAAGATAAGCTATCAATTTACATTGGCATGGTCAACTTTAACAGAAACACCTTAGGGTAAAGATCTTGGGACCCACAAGAAGATTCCTGTGAGCAAAATGTGAGGGAGGTATGTAGCTCTTTATCTTTGTAACCATCTTATTTAGGAACCTAAATGGGAGGCAGGTTTGCATGATCCAGTTCCCAGCTTGAGTTTTCCCTTTGGCTTAGTGAGTTTGGGGTCTTGAGATTTATTTTTTTTTACAATATTAATCTGACAAATCTTTGACTCATCTGAGAGTTTTAAGAGAGCAGGAACCAATTCTAAATGCACTTGCCATTTTTCACTATCACCTAACAAATTGCCTCGCTGAGATTAACCTAGTCAATAAACATATGTCGAATGTTGAAAGAAGTAGACCCCAACCCTTATCTCCATCAGGAAG